GCCTGGTGTTTTGGGCTGCGGCTGATTGCGGTACATGTTGGGAAGTTTCTGTGGTGGGAATAAACAAGTCTTGTTGATGTGCCTGATCTCCAGAATTTCCAAAAGTTTTCAGAGTCTCGTATAGTCTACCGTCTAACTTAAGTGACTCAAATGAAATGTCCATATACTTATGTCAACCTTCCTTCTAGTTTCCAAAAGTGAGATAGGCTTCACCCTAATAAGCGGTTCAGCATGCTTCAGCAGTTCCCTCAAGGCTTCAAGGCCTGTTTGAAAGACTAAAAACCCCTAACCTGCCCAACCTGCTGTGACAAAAGACTTTCCTCATAGACGAGACTCGCTTCTACTTTTGGGATTATCAGAGTGACCTACCGAACCAGTGCACATCAAACCAAGCACCAACTCAAGGCATCAATGAAAACTGAATTGAAAACACGGTGCGCACCTGCAGGTGTGTCTTGCAAACGTTCCGATGTCTCTGTTCCGGCCTCAACAAAACGCAGGTTGCAAGTCATTTTGAGAGGATGGACTGAAGTCTTACAAGGTGACTTAAGATAGGTTGGACAATTGCCAGGTTGCAAGACTGAAGTCTCCGAAATGAGCGTTCTGTTTTTCTCGACCCGGTATGTGTTTCAGAGTAGGTCCGGCGTGTCCGAGTTTTTTCGGTCAGCACCAAGCACCGAGAAAACCATACCAACCGATATATACTCATTCAGACCTACCACCCCAACATAATGTCATGTAGGTTGTTGATTAAACAAACCTTTGTCCAATTTGTCCAGAATGGTTTTACATCTCCTTTGGGCATTGAAAACTGTTCAGCAGTAAAAACCAAACCTTGGGCCCCAAACCCTGTCAGCTGGAGTCGGGCCTGCCGTCGTGACCTGCCACGGGAAATGACGTCCGGGCTTACACGGGGAGTTCCTACAATGTGTTTTTTTTTCTGAACTGAAGAGTGGGATTCCCATGGACCGTGCCAATCACGACCCAAGCCAATCAACACCAACACCCATGATAAACAGGGTTTGAAGGCACCAAGATCCTTCAACGACCGCCCCTCTTAGTTAGTTGACATCCGTCTCTCTTCCTACCACCAATGGCACTAGCCTACATTAGCGCTTCCAATTCGCAAATCCCTCCTGTTCCCCCCGCATTCTAAGAACAATACACAGAACCCCGTGACACTCCAAACACGTCCCAGCACCTCAGCAGGCTTCTTGCTGGGAAGCATCTTCGGCACTCTTCTCGTCTCCTGTGACTCACCCCTGCTTTGCAAAAAGTAACAGCCCTCAAAGTTCATTCATGTTAGTTGACATCCAATCCGTCCCCCTTCCTTCCACTAGCGCTTTCATTTGCACATGCCTTTTACTCCTCCTTCTGAACCCATTCCAAGAACAATACACAGAACCCCGTGACACGCAACATGCGGTAAACAACTCTCTCCAAACATGTCCGGCACCTGAGC